CAGAAAGGGGTTTGTTTAGTGCTTACACCTTTGTGGTTTAAAAACAACAGTGAAAGTACACCAAGAACAAATATTGAGCAAGGAGCAGCTGAGTGGATAACCCACACGAGGCAGGGGGTGATGGGGTCATCCTGAGCCATAGATGGGATCCAAACATTTTAGCCTGCCACAAAGTTGTGGACCTGTTGGAATGAGACCAGAAGAGGGCCACAAAGATGATCAGAGGGCTGGAGCACCTCTCCTATAAGGACAAGCTGAGAGAGTTAGGGCTGTTCAGTCTGGAGAAGAGAAGGCTCTGGGGAGAACTTAGAGCCCACCAGTACCTGAAGAAAGCCTACAAGAAAGCTGCAGAGGGACTTTTTCCAAGGGTATGTTGGTAATAAGACAAGGTGGAATGACTTTAAGCTGAAGCAGGGTAGGGTTTGATTACTTATTAGGAAGAAATTCCTTCACTGTGAGGGTGGTGAGGCACTGGCACAGGTTGCCCAGAGAAGCTGCAACAGCCCAATTCCTGGAAGGGCAAGGCCAGGTTGGATGGGGCTTGGAGCAACCTGGTGTAGTGGAAGGTGTCCCTGCCCATGGCAGGGGAGTTGGAATGAGATGATCTTTAGAGTCCCTTCCATCCCAAACCACTCTGTCAGTCTATGACACTAGACATGGCCTGTGTGCCATGGCAGGGGAGTTGGAATGAGATGATATTTAGGGTCCCTTCCATCCCAAACCAATCTGTCAGTCTATGACTCTAGACATGGCCTGTGTGGCACTGACCAGATGTGTTTGGTGACACCTCTCTGGAGCAGCAGACACGGCTGAAAGCACCAGTACCCTCACTTTGCAGGAGACAAGGACTGTCACCAGGAGTGATGGACAGCAGGGCACAGTTTGTACAGCCTCACCTTGCTGTCCTCTCAGCACCTGGGGGCACTGAGGTCTCTCTTGCCAGGTTAGGGGTGAAGACATGAAAATAAGGTCCCCCTGTGCTGGAAGGGCACCATATTAGGGACAGGGTTTCTAGACTGGTTTGCAAAGATGAATACTACAGGAAAACCTCTTGCTCTCAAACTCTTTGACCTGGCCTGTTTAGCAAGTTAAAAATAGATGCAGCAGTCATTGCAACAACTCATTTTGGGGTGTTTTCTTTTGCTTCTATAGACTCTCCAGAGAAGGAAGGAGAACCAGGTTCACCCAACTAGTTATTAGTGGAGAACTTGGCTCATCTCTTATGGCAAAGAGCAAAGTAAAGGGACAGCCTTAACTTTTCTGAACAGGACTTCCCAGGGAAGACCAAGGCACTGTTCATACATGTTTGGGCATAGGAAACCTTCAGGTTTCATGTCCTAATCGAAAACAGCTACTACATGCTACAGATTTTTGGGTACCATAGTTTTTGAAAAGAAAGAACCTTGTAGCA